AAACTTAAAGGAGAAACTTACTCTTGAAAAACAGGAACATGAAAAACTACAACAAAAAGAATTACAGACTGATTCACTTCTGCAACAAGAGAAGGTAGTTTACTACAATACAAAAAAAGAAAACAACTTGTGCTTATTGTATGTCATTCATTTCCATGTATATCAGAAAACCTTTCAATTGTATATGTCCTTCACTCTGACAATTCTATTTTTAGCATCTTATCCTGCGTAAATAGTCCTGTCTATGCTACAGATTTATCTGCAGAGATGTTCATGACAGGGTGATTGATAATGTGAAAAAATTATAAGCAACTGATGAACCAAAATAAGAAAACTGTTTAAAAATATTTTCTTGTAGGATGCCTGGTTGGCTTAGTCGGTAGAGCATATGACTCTTGATCTCAGGGTTGTGAGTTCCAGCCCCACGTTGGGTATAGAGATTAGTTAAAAATAAAATCTTAAAATAAAAATAAAATCTTAAAAATATATATATTTTTCTTGCACATTCTTGTGTTACATTACTACTTGGGCATTTACAGTTATGTTATAAAATAGTGTCTAAATGCATGTGAAACAAAAGTGACAGTTTTTAAAAATCTGGATTACATAAAGAATAATGTACATATTGGTGAGAAAAACAGTTCACTAAAAAAAAATGGGCATAGGATGGAAATTCATCATTCTCAGAAGTAGAAATTCAGATAATCTATGAAGATCAAAAGATGCTCTACCTTAGTAATAAAGAAATTGAGATAATTGTTTTTCCCTTACAAGATTAGTACAAATTGAAACATTTGATAATATATAACATGTTAATGAGAGTGGAGCAAATAGGTACTCAAATGCACAGATAGGAAATACTATATTGTTGGGCAACCTGCAACACTGAAGGAATTAAGTAGATTTATATATACTGACTTAAAGATCTCAAAAACTATTTTTAGGATTTTTTTAAATGACCTTTACATATGTAGCTTATATTATTTATGTGTGTGTGTGTGTGTGTGTGTATTTTTTTTTTAAGTACATAAGTGTATAGAAAAAGACCAGAAGGCATATATACCAAACTAGTGGTTATCTCTATAGTGAGAAAACTAAGATTGGGGTGGGGTATAATCAGAGGCAATTTTCACTTTACTTGGGTTCTTTTTGTTTTTTGTTATTTTTTTTGCCATCCAGTCCCGCAACTGCATTTATTGTTGGCAGACCTCCAAATGTTTTTTTGTATCTTAGTATCTAAGAGATGTGTCTCCTAAATGCATTGTTAGGAGTATAAAGATGGAGAGAATGCTTATTTACAGTGAACATTCTTTTTAAAGGCAAAGGGCCCTGTTTTCATTCATTAAGTGCTCTGGGCACATCTATACCAGGTTTTTCTTTTTGTTTTCGGTTGAGGTATAAATTGACATACAACAGTATATAAGTTTCCGTATTCAACACAATACCTGTGTGTATTGCAAAATTATCACCACAATAAGTCTAGTTAGCATCTATCACCATAGATAAGCTAAAGAATTTTTTTCCTTCTGAGGAGAACATTTAAGATCTATTCTCTTAGCAACTTTCAAATATGCAATACAGTATTGTTAACTATAGTCACCCCACTGTACATTACATCCCCATAACTGAAGTATTTTATAACTGGAAGTTTATACCTTTTGACTTCACCCATTTTGTCCACGCCCACCTCTGGCAACCACCAATCTGTTCTCTGTAGCTGGGTTTTTTATTTGTTTTTAGATTCCACATATAAATAAGATCATATAGTATTTTTCTTTGACTTATTTATTACAATATCCTCAAAGTCCATCCATAGCATCACATATAGCAAGATTTCCTTCTTTTATATGGCTAAATAATATTCAGTTGTGTATATACCACATTTTCTTTATCCATTCATCCATCAGTACATATTTAAGTTTTTTCCGTATCTTAGCTATTGTAAATAATGCAGATATGTACATTGGGTGCATATATATTTTCAAGTTTGTATTTTCATTTTCTTCAGATACTTAGAAGTGGAATTGCTAGATTGTATGGCAGTTCTATATTTAATTTTCTGAGAAACATTCATACTGTTTTCCATAGTGGCTACACCAGTTGATACTCCCACCAACAGTTCACAGTGGTTCCCTTTTCTCCACATCCTTGCCAACACTTGCTATTTCTTGTCCTTTTTTTTTTTTTTTGGAATCTCTATGCCCAACATGGGGTTGAGCTCATGACCCCAAGATCAAGAGTCACATTCTCTACCAACTGAGCCAGCCAGGCACCCTGTTTATTTTCCTTTTGATAATAACCATTCTGACAGATGTGAGGTGAATCTAATTGTGGTTTTGATTTGCATTTCCCTGATGATGAGTGATGTTGAGCATCTTTTCATGTACCTGTTGGCTATCTGTATGTCTTTGGAGAAATGTCTGTTCTCATCTGCTGCCCAGTTTTTAATCAGATTATTTGGGGTTTTTTTGCTTTTGAACTGTAAGTGTTCTTTATATATTTTGGATATTGACCCCTTATCAGATAATTATTTGCAAATATTTTCTCCCATTTAGTAGGTTACATTTTCAATTTCTGGTGGTTTCCTTTCCTGTACAGAAGCTTTTTAGTTTGATACAGTCCCACTTGTTTATTTTTGCTTTTGTTGCCTTCGCTTTTGGTGTCCTATCCAAAAGAGCATCACCAAGATCAATGTCAAGTTGCTTACTCTGTTTTCGTCTATGAGTTCTATGGTTTCAGGTCTTACATTCAAGTCTTTAATCTATTTTGAGTTAATTTTTGTTTATGGTATAAGATAGTAGGTCCACCTTCCTTCTTTTGCTTGTGGTTTTCCAGTTTCCCAATACCATTCATTGAAGAAACTATTCTTTCCGCATTGTATATTTTTAGCTCTTTTATCATAAATTAATTGACTAAATGTGTGGGTTTGTTTCTGGGCTCTATTCCATTCTGTTGATCGATTATCCATTTTTTTTTAAAGATTTTATTTATTTGACAAAGAGAGAGAGAGAGAGGCAGGCAGAGGGAGAGGAAGAAGCAGGCTCCCTGCTGAGCAGAGAGCCCTACATGGGGCTTCATCCCAGTAACCTGGGATCATGACCTGAGCTGAAGGCAGATGCTTAACCAACTGAGCTACCCAGGCACCCCTCGACGTGTCTCTTTTTATGCCAGTACTGTTTTGAGTGCTATAGATTTGTAAGATAGTTTGAAATCAGGAAGCGTGAGGCCTCCAACTTTGTTCTTCTTTGTCAAGATCACTTTGGTTATTCAGGGTCTTTTGTGTTTCCATACGAATTTTAGCATTTTTCTATTTCTATGAAAATTCCCATTTTGATAGGGATTGCATAGAATCTATAGATTGCTATGGTTGTATGGATATTTTAACAATATTAATTTTTCCAGTCCATGAGGACAGACTATCTCTCCATTTGTGTCTTCTTCACTTTATTTTAATGTTAGAATTTTTTCACAGTGGTGATTTATTTGTATATTATATAACTTTAAAATACATTTATATACTATCAAAATCATAGTATACTTTTTTTTAAGACTTTATTTATTTATTTGACAGATAGAGACACAGCGAGAGAGGGAACACAAGCAGGGGGAGTGGGAGATGGAGAAGCAGGCTTCCCGCCGAGCAGGGAGCCCGATGTGGGGCTTGATCCCAGGACCCTGGGACTATGACCTGAGCCAAGGGCAGATGCTTAACGACTGAGCCACCCAGGCGCCCCATAGTATACTTTTTATATAGTATCATCTGAGAAAAATATATGCTGAAAGTCAGTGGTAAATTATAATTTTAGTTTTACAAGGAATGTGTTGTGGGTGTGCAATGCATAGAAAAAAGACTGAAATAACATTTACCACAGTGTTAACACGGTGCAGGATATAATCCATGACAACATGCGGGTGGATATCTATATTTTTCAAGTTTCTTTGAAGCTCATGAATTTAGTATTCATACTTTATTACCTGTACTTCCTTTTTGTGCTTAAGTAAAAGCCTCATGATGCCATTTCATACTATTTCAGTGGTTTTTTGTTTGGATGTAGGAATTGTCCTCCAGTCTTCAACAGAAGCTATGTTCTTTTCAAGAGGAAATGATGAAAGAGAGGAATCTCTTTGAGGAAGAATTAAAGCAAGTACTGGATGAGCTAGATAAATTACAGCAAAAGGAGGAACAAGCTGAAAGGCTAGTTAGGCAGTTGGAAGAGGAAACAAAATCTCGAGCTGAAGAACTAAAACTCCTAGAAGAGAAGCTGAGAGGGTTTGTATTAATAATATTAGACCTCGTGTTTAATATGACTTCAGATGTTAAAAGGTATTTTCCAGTACATTCTCTCAGGATTCTCAGGTCAATCATGCAAGTAAGTGAGGTTGGAATTATTTTACAAGTGAGGAATAGAGAGGTAAAATATACGCATAGAATGTGTATGCAAACAGGTATGACAGCCAAAGTTAGAAGCATAGCTTCTTTCTTTTTCTTAAGGCCAGAAGTTTAAAAGGATGTTAATAAACAAATGACCAAAATTTGGGGTTCCCTTACTGCTCATATGTTATCTAAAATTATTGGATGTCAGCGTTATAGCAGTAACAGATTTAGAAGAAGAAAAAAAAAGGTGAGAATCCCACCCTTTATTAAGAAACATTTCCATTTTTTGCCCATGTGTACATTAGATTACATAGCATAAGTCATACCTTTAATTACCTTTTCTGAGGGAGCACAAGTAATCAGAAGTAGCAATCAAAAAGGCAAAATGAGAAAAAAATAACCAAACCTGGGAAATGTTCAAAAATAAGAAATTTAAGAGATCTCAAACTTTTCTTTTTTCTTCTTTTAAAGTAGGCTCCACGCCCACTGTGGGGCTTGAACTCACAACCTCAAGTTTGAGAGTCACATACTCCACTGACTGAGCCAGCCAGGTGCCCCTTGGACTTTTTTTTAATTCTAATTCCATATTATTTTTATTACATTATGCATCCTTCTCCACTATATTTATTTAAAATATCCAGGTTGATTCTTGAGTTCAAGTTGCAACTAAAAATAATTATGTTATTTGAATCCTTGGGATTTCCTTACTAAAAATATTTCTAACAAAGAACCAAGAACTATACATGAGTCTACAGAATTGTAATGTATCTCACAACTATGTATCTGTCTCCTGTTGGATATTTTTACTAAAATCCTTTTTCTATTTTCTTGTGGTGATCAGTGATAAAAAGGACACAAAGGTTTTATGCCTGCTTTGGAGGGGAGCATTACCAAAGTGTTATTAGGGGGAATTGTTCTATACTGGAGCCAGTCTCAGGGAAGAGCACTTTAAGAAACTGAGTAGATGATGTCAGTTTCAGGGAGGAAAGAAGGTTGAGACAATCATTTATTCTAACTCAAGGAATTGGGTACAGAGTTCAGGAGATAAGGATTTTATTGCTGGGTCTTCTAACCAGCTCTGTGATTCTAAGCAAGACAATTCTAATTTCTTTAATTTTCTATTTTATTAGATACAAAATAAAGGGGTTTTAATGACATGATCTCTAAGGTTCCATCCAGCCTGGAAATTTTAGGCATAAGAGAAAAACTAAGAAAATTGAAAGTGATTTTTTTATGGGGCAGGGAAGAGAATATTTTTGTCATAAATCCTTTACTATATGTGATTGCTTTCAGCTGTTGGCATGTAGATTTTTTAAATCCCATACTCATTATAGAAGGAATTTGATTAGTTGTTTATTTTCTCTGTCTGACTTAGCCAATAGGTGAATAATAATGTACCAAATAAGTTATTGAATCTTTGAATAGTAACAATTTATTATGTGGATTACTGAAATAAAATAAGTCTACATAGTCCTATAAACTCTTTTTTCAAAGAAATACCAAGTGTAAAGACACTTAGTGTTTCTTAAATGTTTAAATGCAGAGACTTTATTCAATCCGAGTGCTTTTTAACTGCTAATTTTTCACATTCTTTAGTTTTGTTTGCTGCAGTTAAGATTGTTTTAAAGTCTTTTTACCCTGTCTTCTTCCAAAAAAAAGTTTTAACTACCTACGTAAGTACATATAATATTGAAAGAAAAATTTAAAAATGAGTAAATTAGGATTAAAAAACGTAAAATAAGGGCAGGAAAGATAAGATGAAGCCAGAAGAGAAGTTAGTGCATAAAGAAACATGCTATTAGAAGCAGATCATAAAGTTAAATCTAAGCTATCTAGTAGCGTACACAAAGATGCAGACATTGGACACATGATCCACAGTGTCAAAAGGTAAATACTAATCCCTTTCTTAGAATAATGATTTGTAATTAGTGTTTTATCTTTTAATTGTTCCTTAGGAAAGAAGCTGAACTGGAAAAAACTAATGCTGCTCACAGTCAGGCCACCCTGCTTTTACAGGAGAAGTATGATAGTACAGTGCAAAACCTTGGAGATGTTACTGCTCAATTTGAAAGGTATTTTTACTGGGAGCCTGCACTCTGAAATATAATATGAGTGGGGAGGAGTGTTTAGTGAAGTCTGAAAAAATAATCACACAAATCGAGTGGTTGGTATTACTCTAACTTCCATAATGACCAACCATAAATAGGCATTTAGGGTTCCCTGGTAATCTTACTATGTATACAAATTTCCTTTCCTGCCATCCCCTTCAAATTTCATGTGCTCCCAAACCTTTGGCACTTCTGTCTTACTCTCCTGACACCATCTTTTTCCTCATGAAGAACTCTAAAGCTTTTATCTCCTCGTTACCAAACCTGTAAACGCACCTGCATTTTGGTCATCCTATCTTCCCACCTGTTACAGGAGAAGTGTTCCAGTCTTTTAGCCTTCAGTGACATTATTCCATTTGTCCTTTTCAACCTTTCAGGTGAATTTGTTTCAATCAATATTAAAACATGTTAATGCATTTATCTTTAAAATACATAAATTTTAGGGGCACTTGGGTGGCTCAGTCATTTAAGTGTCTAACTCTTGATTTCGGCTCAGGTCATGATCTCAGAGTCATGAGATCAAGCCCTGCATTCAGCAGGAAGTCTGCTTCTCTTGCTGTCTCTCTCTCTCTCCCTCTGCCCCTACCCCTGCTGGCATACTCTCTCAAATAAATAAATAAATTTTAAAAATATGAATATAAAATACTTAAATTTTAGGGGTGTCTGAGTGGCTCAGTCAGTTAAGCATCTGACTCTTGGTTTCAGCTCAGGTCATGATCTCAGGGTCATGAGATCAAACCCCGCTTCAGGCTCCACGCTCAAGGTGGAGTCTGCTTGGGATTCTTTCTCTCTTCCTCTCCTTCCTTTTCTGTCCCTTCCTCCCCTCCCCCACCCCACCCACTCATGCATGCTCTCTCTCTCTCTCAAATAAATAAAATCTTTAAAATATATAAATTTTATTAACTCCTTTGACCCCCCCACTTCCTTCTGCAGCTATCCAGCAACACCTCTCAATCCCAACACCCTCCTTCATCCAAAATTCTACTCATCTTTGTAGCTTGTCTTGATAGAAGCTTCTCTATAATTACTGTATCCATTTCCTCACTTCCTATTCCATCTACTTATTATTTTCCCTTTAAAAAAAGAGCTTATTTTGGGGGAACTACAAATTGCAGGGGATAATTAAAGAAATCTGTGTGCATCTCACACCAAGAGCATATTGATATAAACATTTTTATTATATTTAGAGCATTTGGGGATGAGGTCTCTTTGTCTTATATCTATTTTAATATATTTAATAAATACAAAAGGTATACAACACATAAATTATAAAACATAAAGATAAAATCAACATGCATGAGCCAGTAAGACAACCAAACCAGTAAGCCAAAAGATTTCAACAACTTGGTATTATATAGGAGTTCCTCTACTGTCCCATCTGCCTGCTTTCCACCAATAGATAACACCATTTAAAGCCTACATTAATAATTTCCTCACTTTTTTCCTGTGTATAATTTTATAGCATGTGTTGCCATACAAATATATTATGTAATTTTACCTTTTTCCTGAACCTTGCCAAAAAATGTCATTATGCTGTATGACATTTCCTGAGACTTGTCTTTATATTCTGCATTATGTATGTTTCAAGAATTGAATCACATTGTTGACTGAGGTTATAGTTTGTTCATAGTAATTGCTGTAGAATATTTGATTTTATTAATATTACCACAATTTACCCATTCTCACTTTGGGCTTTTGGGTGGCTTTTCATTTCTTTTGTTATTTATTTTATTTATTTATTTATTTTTTCATCATGATAAGTGTACTCTTTAATCCCCATCCCCTATCCCCCCCACTACCCCACCCACCTCCCCTCTGGTAACGATCAGTTTATTCTCTGTGGTTAAGAGTCTATTTCTTGGTTTATCTCTCTCTGTGTCTCTCTTTTTTATTTATTTATTTATTTTTGCTTGTTTGTTTCTTAAATTCCACATGAGTGAAATCATATGGTATTTTTCTTTTTCTGACTTAGTGTACTTAGCATTGTATTCTCTGGCTCTATCCATGCTTTTGCAAATAACAAGATTTCATTTCTTTTTTATGGCTGAATAATATTCCATTGTATATATCTACCACATCTTCTGTATCCATTCATCTATCAGTGGACACTTGGGCTGCCTTCATAGTTTGGCTATTGTTGATAATACTGCTATAAACATAGGGGTGCATGTATCCCTTTGAATTAGTGCTTTTATATTTAGGGGGAAAATACCCAGTAGTGTGATTACTGGGTCATAGGGTAGTTCTATTTTTAATTTTTTGAGGAACCTCCATACTGTTTTCCACGGTGGCTGCACCAGTTTGCGTTCCCACCAGTAGTGCAAGAGGGTGCCTTTTTCTCAACATCCTCATAAACACTTGTTATTTCTTGTGTTTTTGATTTTAGCCATTCTGATAAGTGTGAGGTGACATCTTTTTGTAGTTTTGATTTGTGTTTCCCTGATGATGAGTGATATTGAGCATCTTTTCATGTGTCTGTTGGCCTTCTGGATCTCTTTGGAGAAATGTCTGTTCATGTCTTCTGCTCATTTTTAAATTGGACTATATGTTTTTTAGACATTGAGTTGTATCTGTTCTTTATATATTTTAGATACTACCCATCATCGGATGTCATTTGCAAATACCTTCTCCCACCTTTTAGTTTTGTTGATTGTTTCCTTCGCTGTGCCAAAACCTTGTATTCTGATGTAGTCCGCATAGTCTATTTTTGCTTTTATTTCCCTTGCCTCAGGAGAATATCTAGAAAAATATTACTACAACCAGTGTCAGATTAATGCCTATGCTCTCTTCAAGGATTTTTATGGTTTCAGGTCTCACATCAAGGTTTTTAATGCATTTTGAGTCTATTTTTGTGTATAGTGAAAGAAAGTGGTCCGCTTTCATTCTTTTGCATGTAGCTCTCCAGTTTTCCCAACACCATTTGTTGAAGAAATTGTCTTTCTCCCGTTGTATATTCCTTCCTCCTATGTCCAAGATTAATTGACCATATAATTGTGGGTTTATTTCCCGATTTTCTGTTCTGTTTTATTGATGTATGTGTCTGTTTTTATGCCTGCACCATGCTGTTTTAATTACTACCACTTTGTAATATAACTTGAAATCTGAAATTGTGGTACCTCAAGTTTTGTTTTTCTTTTTCAAGATTGTTTTGGCGGGCGCCTGGGTGGCTCAGTTGGTTAAGCGACTGCCTTCGGCTCAGGTCATGATCCTGGAGTCCCGGGATCGAGTCCCACATCGGGCTCCCTGCTCAGCAGGGAGTCTGCTTCTGACCCTCCTCCCTCTCATGCTCTCTGTCTCTCATTCTCTCTCTCGCAAATAAATAAAAAATTAAAAAAAAAAAAAAAAAAAGTTTTGGCTATTCAAGGTCTTTGTGGTTCCATACACATTTTGGGATTGTTTGTTCTACTTCTGTGAAAAGTGCTATTGGTATTTCGATAAGCATGGCATTACATCTGTAGATTGCTTTGGGCAGTATAGACATTTTAACAATATTTGTTCTTTCAACTTATGAGCATAGAATGTCTTCCCATTTCTTTGTGTTGTCTTGAATTTTTTCTATCAATGTTTTATAGTTTTCAGAGTATAGGCCTTTGACTTCTTTGGCTAAGTTTATTCCCAGATAATGTTTTTGGCACAATTATAAATGGTATTTTATTAATTTCTCTTTCTGCTGCTTCATTATTAGTGTATAGGAATACAACACATTTCTGTACATTGGTTTTGTATCCTGTTACTTTACTGAATTCATTTATCAGTTCTAGTAGTTTTTTGGTGGAGTCTTTAGGGTTTTCTACACATAATGTCAAGTCATTTCTAAATAGAGTTTCACTTCCTTACCAATTTGTATGCCTTTTATTTCTTTTTGTTGTCTAACTGCTGTGGCTAGGATTTCCAGTACTATGTTGAATAAAAGTGGTGGAGTGGACATCCTTGTCTTGTTCCTGACCTTAGGGGAAAAGCTTTCCATTTTTCACTATTGTGTATGATGTTAGCTGTAGGTTTTTCATATCAGGCCTTCATTATGTTGAGGTATGTTCCCTCTAGACCTACTTTGCAGAGGGTTTTTATCATGAATGGATGTTGTACTTTGTCAAATGATTTTTCTGCTCCAATTGAAATGATCATATGGTTTTCATCCTTTCTCTTACTGATGTGATGTTGATTGTTTTGTGACTGTTGAACCACCCTTGCATCCCAGGAATAAATCCCACTTGATCGTGGTGTTTGATTTTTTTTTAATGTATTGTTGGATTCAGTTTGCTAATATTTTGTTGAGGATTTTTGCACCTATATTTATGAGAGATAATGGCCTGTAGTTTTCTTTTTTGTGTGGTGTCTTTATCTGGTTTTGGTACTTGGGTGATACCGGCCTCACAGAATGAATTTGCAAGTTTTCCTTCCTCTTATGTTTTTTGGAATAGTTTGAGAAGAATAGATAGTAACTCTTTAAAAGTTTCGTAGAATCTTTTGCTATTATTAATAGTATTCTTAGGAATATTCTTGTAGTCTCCTAGTATACATGTATAAGAATTACTCTGAAGTCCTACAAATGTGAATGTTCAACTTTAAAATTTAATGCCAAATTGCTTTACAAAGTGGCAGGGAGAATCTACACTTTCACTAGTGTTGTACGGGCAGCCATTGATCTACTTCGTCTCCAAAGCTTGTTAGATTTCTTAAATTTTACCAGCGTACTTAGTGTAAAATGACTTTTTCCTAGGGATCATCCACCTCCCCTTTTCTATAAAAAGCTTATATATGACTTTTATTCATTTCTCTATAGAATTACTATCTTTTCCTGATTGTAAAGTTTTTATCAGCAGTATGGGTTGTAAATATCTTCTACCAAAGTGTGGCTTATCTTTTCATTTTCTTTGTGGTTTCTTCTGATGAATGGAAATTCTTGATTTTAATATTTTTTTTAAGATTTATTTATTTGAGAAAGAGAGTACACACAAGTGGGGCGGGGAGAGGCAGAGGGAGAGGGAGAGAAGCAGACTCCCCACTGAGCCCATGCGGGGCTCGATCCCACAACCCTGAGATCATGACCCAAAACATAATCAAGAGTTGGGACACTTAACCAACTGAGCCACCCTGGCGTCCTGATTTTAATGTTTGAATTTATAGATTTTTATATGAACATGGTTGCGTGTAGTTTAAGAACTTCTTTCTATCCCAAGAACATAAAGGTATTTACCTTTTATTTTTAAGTTTCTTTTTTCCATCCAGATTTCTCTGTGTGCAATGATATAGGGAACAAATTTATTTTTGTTTTTCCATATGGATAATCTACTGCATATAATGTATATGTGTACCTATAATGTATATGTGTACAAATATTTCTATTTATATATGTTCAAGCATAAATAAAAATTATATTTTAGTACTGTTTTCAACCCTGTGAAGGGATTTCCTTTCCTGCTACTTTGAAAAATTGTGCCTTGGGAAGTTTTTAGCCATTCTATGACTTCACTTACCATCAGTATGCTAATAGCATTAAAATTTATTTCTTCAAACCTGATCTTTTCTTTCAGCTTTATACCCATATATCCAGCTGCCTACTTGACATCTCAAAGTAGGTATCTCCCTACCACGTAACATTAACCTGTCCAAAACAACTCTAGATTTTCTTTGTCTCTATCTACCTTTCCCTCATTCCTTTTTATTTCTTTTTTTTTTTAAAGATTTTATTTATTTATTTATTTGAGAGAGAGAATGACAGAGAGAGAGAGAGAGAGAGAGCACATGAGATGGGGGAGGGTCAGAGGGAGAAGCAGACTCCCTGCAGAGCAGGGAGCCCAATGCGGCACTCGATCCCGGGACTCCAGGATCATGACCTGAGCCGAAGGCAGTCGCTTAACCAACTGAGCCACCCAGGCGCCCCATTCCTTTTTATTTCAGTCAGTGACATCTCCCTCTTCCCAGCTTCTCATTCCATAACCCTGAGAGTCATCTTTAATCATTTTCTCTCCCTTTCTCCCAACATCCAACCTATTTCATGAAATTTGCAATTCTGCCTTCAAAAGAGATTTCACATCTTTCCATTGCCAAGTCCTTGTCTAACCATCCTTTACCATTCACCTGGGCTGATGTACTCCACAGTGATGACTGGCCTCGTGCTTCTAGCATCTGCTCCTGCATCCCTGCTTCATTACATTCCAGTCTCATCTCTTAGCACTGTGTTCTGCCTGCCTCAGAGTACATATGCATCTTTTCCCTCTGAACCACTTTCACCTGAATCCTAGCTAACTTTTCTTTACCTATCACATCTCAGCCTAACTATAAATTCCTCAGAAAGGCCTTTTCTGAATCGCCAAAAACAGTACGTTCCCCTGTTTGTCAGCTTTCTGCTCTTTAGTTTTCTTTTTCTTTTCTTTTCTTTTTTTTTAAGATTTATTTACTTATTTATGAGAGAGAGAGGGCGCGGGTGCGCACAAGTGTGCAGGAGGTGTGAAGGAGAGGGCAAAGCAGACTCCTTGCTGGGCAGGGAGCCCTTTGCAGGGCTCCATCCCAGAACTCAGATCCTGACCTGAGCCGAAGGCAGATGTTTAACCAACTAAGCCACACAGGCGCCCCTCTAGTTTTCTTCATAACACAAATCTTATTATACATATATTTTCACATTTTTTTGTGAAGACCTGGAGAGGCATTTCCCTGTCTTCCCCACAAGACCATAAACTTTGTGACAATAGGTGCAGGGATCATATATTTATTTGTTTTGGAGTAATTTTCATGTTTGGTATACTTCATACACATAGTAGGCACTCGATTTGTTTTTTCTTTAAATGGACAGCGAATGCCATATAAGTTCATTAGTACTGACCTCAGAATACTGAATTCTTACCTGTGTAAATGCATGGTTTATAAGGTTTTGTTTGTTACCTTAAACTGTATAACATATAAACTAATGAGCTATATATTTATCATGCATACAGTAGTTAGAAAAATCCTTCAACTTTTTATTTTCCTTTTAATAAGTTATAAAGCATTAACAGCTAGTGAGATAGAAGATCTTAAGCTGGAGAACTCATCACTTCAGGAAAAAGTGGCCGAGGCCGAGAAAAGTGCAGAGGACATTCATTATCAGATATTGGCAACTGAGACCTCAAATCAAGAATACGTAAGG